GGGATTGTTCGTCGTAGGCATCGTCGCTCTTATCTGTATCAGAGTGTTCCCTCGAGAGACTGAGTGTCGCAGGCCTGTTGACCATGTGGCTGAGCCATCTCCCAATCTTGAAGGTGTCGCACCTTTTATATTGTGTGTAATCTAATACTGCAATCCATGGACATGCACCAGAACAGAGGACTGCAGCAAAGCAAAAAGGTTCAAGAGTGTGATAAAGAGAGTTGTGAATGAAAACGACCGCAAACAAGGCTAGGAAGCGTAGCAAATCTTGTTCATATTCATCTAGTGCGATGATAGCATAGTGATAGCACCTTATCACTGGCACTAGGTCATCTAAGCTCTAAAACATGATGACTTGAGTAGCAGGAAAGCAGAGGGCTTAGAGTCGTAGGATTCTGTAGTGTTCGGAAGCTTAACATTTAGCTACGTATTCGTCAAGCTCTGCTAACCCAGGCCACATAATAAAAAACCCGAGAATCTGCAAAGAATACCGAGTGGTGAAAATCAGCACTAGATTGTCCTTCGGGCGTCATACGAATGTGCGCTGCTCAATTTGATCCTGTCCTGCGCCGATGATTGAGTAGATTCTCGCAGTTCTCTTAGATGAGGAAGAACGGATGCGAAAGCCTGAAGAAGGGAGAACGGGGAGAATTTGTTGTCGAGGAGGGGCATAATGTTCACGCTGGGTTTGAAGGAAGGGTTGGATTTTCTGTGAGCTCACCTCTATGGATTCAGGTCTTTGCCATGCGCAAAGTGAATAAATTCGCAGCTGCAGCAGCGTCCCCTTTCTCCGGTCAGAATGCAGAATGGAGAGGAGAGTAGTGATACCCAGGCGCCCTGTCTACTCTGTCAGCATTTTCGCACGGCCACATGCCTAACTATAGTCAAGCGCGCTATTTGTCTGCGCCATCCCGTTTCTGATTGTTCTCTACTTCTGAGCGCGTGCTTCGCTGCGGTATACTGGCATCGAAGGAAGTGCAACATACTGAAGATAGCGAAGGCGGAGTCTTGAGCCCCCATACATAATTGTCCTCCCGCCTCGTTTCCAGTCGTTGTCCGCAACAGGCCCGGAAAATTTGAGCGGCCGAGAAGGAAGTGTGTGTTTGGATGCCTTCTCTTGCGGAAGCGCTACTCCAAAACCAGTGACGTAACTACAAGACGACATACCACAGAGCTATGCTCCGAGATGTCGTGTTACTATTCAGTGTTTGGACAGGAGGATCAGTAGGACCTGAATTCATACCGACCTGCAGCTGTGCCTGCAGCAGTGGAACTCTTCTTTTTGAAGGCGATAAAAAGCCTAGGTGATTCTGCAGAAATTTGGAAGGAAATTCGCCAAGTGAACCATCTATGAGAGAAAATGCCAAAGGGAACGTTGGAAACGCATTCGTCAGGCCTCCTCTAGCCTCAAACAACTGTAGAGGTAAAAGACCGAAAAGACCGCGCGCTGGGACAATTCCCGTCGGCTGATTCCCAGTAATGAACCTATGACTCTACAAGAGACACTGAATGCATCCACTCCATGATACTTGCCCGGGAGCATTACTTTTGGCTGGAAGGCCGACTTTGGAGGCGGAGTCTGGAGGCGGAGTCACTGGAAAAGGGATGTACCACTGAAGCAACTTTGCGCCTTAATCCCTTTACCGTACAACTTTCCGCCGTGAAACTGGCACGGGGTTGTCCACTCCCACCACCTTCCCACATAACCTCTTGCATTTTCATAGAACATCGCCGACCGCTCCTCTAGTTAAAAACAATGCTTGGTGGAAACACTACGGCAACTTTCCTATAGCAGTAACAGAATTAACAGCATCTCATCTGCCCTTGTTAACAAAAGGAGCTGTTAGGTGTACAGAAGCTCCCTGGCTGAAAATGACTCTTCGACAAATAGGGCGCGCTATTAACTTTAAGCGCCGAGTATCACACTTTTTATCCAGTTTCCTCTTCATTTTATACAAATAAATCAGTCCAAGCAACTAGTTATGTTATGGCCGAGGCAGTAACTTTTTATAGCGGTCGTGGACGGTGAGGTTTCCATGCGGATGGTGGGCCAGAATGAAAAACTGTGGTCCGCCACTTTATAGCAAATGGAAAAGGAAAGAGGCAAGCGGTTCTTACAGGCGAAACAATCGAAGTGTGAATTCGTGGAGTTCGATGTACACTTGTCGGCAGATGGCGTTCCTGTACTGATCCATGATGATTCTACGGGTCGCACTTCTAAAGAAGACGTCCTAATCAAACAGATGACTGCAAAGGAAATTAAGAACATACAATTGAAAATAGTCAGGTATTTGAACTGCCTCGAGTATTTATTTTGTATGCATATATAAGGAGGGGTCGTACCCAGAGGGTGCGACCCTAGCCGGCGGGCGGCACATGCAGTCATCACCATCCCTCCAAACGGGCGTGTGAGAGCGATGTAGATTAGAGCGCCGCCGAGGCAACCTTTTCATCAATGATGCCAGCTAAAGTAGTCTGCTGGCAAGTGGAATTCAGTCCCTCTGATTGCATCAATCCTTTATTTTTCTCTGCACTCTCTCGTCCGTTTGGCGCTCTATAGTCATTGTGACTCACACACTCGAGCACTCCACAAACGATGCGGCTTACAAACCCCAGTGCCGCTCCCTTACAAAAGCTAATATAGTCGCGACGCGAAAAAAAAGTAAACTTATACGTTTTCTTCGGTTGCGGCAGCGGAACGGTGGATCTGACATTATCAAAGCGGCTGCGTATCAATGCGATAGGTAATCAAGGTTGACGAGCGAGGACTGGCTTCACAAAGGCTGCGTTGCTGGGAATATAGGCCTGAGATGCAGCATCTTGGCGCTTTGTCAATTACGGTAACGCGCGCGGTAGGACCGCAGTGCGGACTCAGGAGATGCCCCTTCAAAGAGCTGACTTAATTGTCGAATGCGCCCATTGTCGTCTTTCCCTTCTCCAGCAGCTCCCAGAACTCCATGCCTCTTCTGGACCACCAACAGAACAGGGGAACCATTTTGGTGTGAAGGTCGGCCTTTGAGGTGGCTTCTGGCTGTTCTCCTTTGTCGACCCACTCCTGCTCCCTCACAGGGTTATCGTAGAGGACCCACTTCTCATCTCCAGTGATCATCGAGTTGAGAACGCGAAGCTTCTTTTGTGAATCGTTAAGCAAAACCAGGCAGTGGCGCAGGTACATTCTGTCACAGTGGTAATTGTGCGACATTGTGTACTGCAAATGCAAGCTCGGTGAGTGATAGCTAGTGTAATGAAAGAGTATAATGTACACGTCACGCACACGTGATGACGTAATACCAACATCCATGCGAACGAAATAGGAGAGGATCAAACACGTGTATAAGAACTTATGCGACAACCTAATATGATCAAAAAGTTTTGATAGGGTTTTTTGAAGGTTCCAGAACTTTCGATTCTTGATCGATACCAATGATCTACCATGTGGTAGTGGTAGAACATTCTAGAACCTTCTCCGTAATGGGTACATATAGGCGCGCTTCCTCCTTCAGCTTGAATCACGATGTCAATTAAGTTAATTTCCACTTCTATTGCTGCGGTCCATCGCTGGTTCGCTCGCTTCAAGGAAGGAGACACGGACTTCGAAGACGTCGGGACGCCCCTCGCCGTCGACGACTCCGTCATTCTCGACGCCGTCAAAGAGGATCCGGAAGTTAACACCCGCAGTCTTGCGACGAGACTTGGGTGTGCCCAATCAACAGTCGTCGGTCGCCTTCAGGCCCTCGGTTACAGAAAAGTGCTGACTCGATGGATACCTCATGTCTTGACCGATAGCATGCGGTACACCCGGGTATCCATTTTCAGTCTCTCCTTCTCCGCCCACATCGCAAGGAGTTTCTGGAGGACCTAGTTACTGGAGATGAAAGCTGGATCCTCTACGACGCTAACAAGCACCGCGCCGTCTGGCTCCCGCGAGGAGAACAGCCGCCGACGCAAGCCAAATCCGACCTTCACCCCAAGAAGTTTCTCCTTCGCTGCTTCTGGGATTCAAAAGGAATGCTGTACTACGAACTGCTCAAGCAAGGCCACACCGTCACCGCTCCCTATTACGCTGGTCAGCTGCAGAAACTTGCGGAAGCCGTTCGAGAAAAACGGCCTAGACGAACTTTTGTGCACCTCCTCCATGACAACGCTAGGCCTCACATAGGTAAAGAGACCCGTGCAAAATTGGAGGAGCTAGGCTGGGACACGGTTCCACATCCACCCTATTCACCTGATATTGCCCCCTCAGATTACCACTTGTTCCGGCCCCTCAAGGCTTTCCTAGCAAAAAACGATTCGTCAACTATGACCACCTTGAACAAGTGGTCGGTGACTTCTTTGACTCCCAATCTCCCCAGTTCTGGGAGAAGGGAATCGCTGACCTGCCCGTTAGGTGGGACAATGTTATGACTAACGATGGTTATTATATTGTTGATTAGCTTGCATTGTTTGCTGAGTTGTAAAATAAAGCAGAAAAAATCTCAACACTGTCAAAGCTTTTTGATCAACCTAATATTATTATCAGCTCTGGTCGTTAGACGCTTCTCGCATGCGTTAGCAGCCGCCGTGCTCTATGCGTCTGCATTACATGGTTTTCGAAGAAGATCATGCACAAAAGTTCAAGATGTCACGCAACTATCGTGTGTCCGCAGCAACTAAGGGGAAGGCTGTTTTGGCTGCAATCCAGCATTTCTTTTGGCCCTTGCAACTGTGAGAAGGTGGATCTGCTTCGAGCTTCGAGTTGCATCAAAGCCCGTCTGTAATCAATTTGCCACCTCACGAGAACTCCGTGCCTGGTGGTGACTTCTCACTGGATGACTCAAGATACACTTTGTCGCGAGCGGAGGCGAATAATTCTACTGCCCGATATCTCTCACAAGTTCAAACCTCTCCTATATTTTTTTACCGCTGACAGCCATGCTGAGTAAGACGTGTTCAGTGGAATTAAAAGTGTTATTCCTACGCTTGCTGAAGCTGTGGACTGGTGTGTGCAAAATAATATGAAGATGATATTTGATATCAAAGAATATGATCCCAAGGTGACCCTTCTTAATTCTGTATCATTAAGTGTTTTGGTCCAATCACGCAGAATGCCACCAAATTCGAAAAAAACTTCTTTCGAAACGAGTACTAAAAAGGCCAAGAAAACTCACAGCCTTGCCTACCTAGTGATTGCCAAGAACTTCTTCTATTCACTCGTTCATTCTGCTCAATTTCAGATGATAAAAGCATTAACGGATCTCATCAAGTCAAAGAATCTATACGCCAAGACCATAGTTATAAGCTTCAATCCCTGTGCACTGTTCACCATCAAGCGAGTTGATAGAAATATACTAACTGGTAAGTGTGCACTTGTTCTTTCTACGATTTTCACTCAAGTAATAGAAGGTTGAGGCATCTTTGAAATGGCGAGTGACTCGTCCTCTTAGATGATAGGCGTATAAGAACTGAAAGGGGCTCTATCGGAGTGTTGAGCACGGGTATCGCTGAAATATGTAGGGAGGAGCAAAAGTAAAGTCTCGCGTTCTGCAGAAGAAAAGGTAGGGAACGAATCACATCGCAGAATAGCCCAGGATTGACATTCCCTTGAACTTGACGAGAGAGACGTAGTTTGTTTGATGAGCCGGCCAGGATTGCTACTGTTTATGAAGCCAATGTTTTAGTTTCATCACCTCCGTCAGAGTCTAAAATAGTCAAAAAACAGAGTGATTTGCCCTCTCAAACGCCTTAGCGAAGACTTTCTCTAATCTCAGCCATGGTAACGGGATCGGAACGGGATGTGATTCACATTATCACCTATTATCTTCGAAATTCGCAGCAATGGTAATGGCATACTTGGACGATTTATTGTTAGTGTCATAGGAAGTGAGAACACGTCCAAGCATCGAAACCGCTTCCAACAGATAAAAATTGGTAGAAAAAAGCATGGCGTCTGGGCTAAGCTCATCCCAAAATATACAGCTGATGTATAATAGTTGAAACCCGCGGAGCATTACCTTTGGGTGTTGAACGAGAGGCGTTTTCTGTCACTGCTTATTGTGTAGTTTAACCAACCGCTACTAGTGGAAAGAGAAGCGGGCGGGCCTATCCCAGGAAGCCGCCCCGCACGACAATATCGACTACAGCTGATAATCACTCAACCTTATGAAGACTCAGAATTTAGAATATATGCAAGAAAAATATAACAAAGATATTTGTTGCAGGTTTAACTATTCGAGCAGGATACATGAGCTATGAAGATTTGGACAGAAGAATTTTGAGGAATAGTCCACCACTACAGTACATAGATTTCATCATAGACGGCTTGATTGAATTAGGTTTTCTTCACCTTATGCGTAACTCTTTCAAAAGCTGGCACTTTTCATCTTGAAGGTGTCCACTCGTTCGTACTACCTGCATTTCTGGGTGTCGATATGCTTCTTCTCCACTACAAATGTGTCAACAGGTTTGTCAATTGGATGAGGCAGATGAGGCACAGCTGAAGTTACAAAGACCCAGACCTTTCAATGCATCGCACCGGGACCGGTGTAACGGCGTTGTCAGTACGACTACACCCTCACATTTGCTCAGTGGCACAACTTTCCTAGCCTACCCACCAGCTTCCCGGGTTTCCACTTTTCCGTGATGTACTTCGCCAGTTTTTCATCCAAATACGAGCGAGCGGATCGTCACCGATCAATTACTGCTTTCAACTACCAGAACAAATAGTATATGGCAATTGGCACCGTCAAACTGGGGAGCAGGAAGTGAACATGAAACGAAAAAAAAAAACGAAGAAAAGTGAACAACCGTAAAAATTCCCTCGCAACACTGCATTTCTTAGCCACTTGCTCAAAGCAAATACGACCCCTCTTGCAGTGACACGGCGTGTAAGTTAAGAATCTTTCGACGCGCGCGCAAACCCGTCCACGCAGAACAATGCGTATTAGAATGGTCCCTCCGTCCTATGGAACGCGTCGCGCATAATAGAATGCCCTAAGTTGGCAGACGTCTAAGGGCCTACACGATCATTTCTTCAGTACAGAGGTACCTTGCTCAGAAGGAAAAAACTACTAATTGCTGAAGCTATTATATCATACAAGACAAGGTCACAGACTAATAAGGACTTACACGAATTTACTACGATTCGGATAACGCTGCAACCACAGATAAACTATTGTATATACATCAAGTGACACGACAACAATAAATACAACAATAAGCGTCACTGGCAAGCGACACCGACACACAGAGTTAGAGAATGTGGCGTGAGTACGCACCGGTTTAGTGGGCCATGTATGAGACGAAGGAACAGGAGCAGCCGTCTAGCTGGATCTCGGGACGGTGATTGGTCAGGCTCCCGGAGACCATACAGGAGTAGGTCCTCCTCGCGCTTCGAGGATCCTTCCGTCGCTCAGAGCGGAGTTCACGGTAGCTTGGCTGAATGAAGGCATGTTCACCGGCACATACCATGAAGGTTTCCGAGCCCGTACACAAGTTACGACACCCCTCTCCTGTATTACCACCCCTTCTTTCTCCTAACGACGTGTACCATGAGTCTGTATTCCTCTGAGCAGTGGCCAACGAGAGAACTTTCCTAATAGAAATCGTACGTGCTGTTTATGCGCAATTTCAGTTGAAGAATGCTCGAATCTGGCTTATCAATAATTGCTTGGATGTGAACGTATCCTATCAAGCCGCTTTCTTGAGATATTTATATGTGAGTAATGTATTATATTCCTACTTCACTCTGTAGCGTTGAGACGAAGAGCGCGTCATTATGTTAAACAAATCATTTTCTTTCGGAATGTCTTCGACTAGAAAGAAATGGAGTAAAAAGACTCTGACACCCTCTTACAGTATTCTTTCCTTTATATTTCGTATCCAGCAACATTTCCTGCCTCGATCGCAATGAACGTCAGAAAGTTTTACGGTGATCATAAATGCATTGTGTTTGTGCGAACTGCATGTTGTGGACGTTACTTTCCCACTCGCGTTTATGAATAGGCCGTCGCAACGAAGCGTATTCCGCAACCAAACCCGGCGGATGCTCAGACCCACCTCAACATACTGCAGCGCGCGCGTGCCAACTCTATTTCCCAAGTCAACTCGTACTGCGATGGCGCGAATGGGAGGTAACGCTCCATACCCAAATCAGCTTGGCTGCTGCACAGAACATTTATTTCAGGTACCATTTCTCACGGATTACCCTCAGTTATTAAAAGAAAAAAAACAGTAATCATTATTCCACTATTAATGCGGAATCTACTTGCCAATAAACTTCAATGTGGCATATTGTTCATTGTCGACGCACGCTGACGCCGATCTCTCCTCCTTCTTTTAGCTCGCGCCGTTCGCGACCTGGCCTGCTGGGCCCAGCGCAGCATCATTAATGGCAGGTATAGTTAATTGTAGAGCTGCTCATATGGCGCGTGAGTTCGTAACATAATATGACGGAGTATCCTATCGAAATCGCACCCTCTCAGCTTGGAAGCGTCTTTTGTTTCGCCATAACACCCATTCTATCACGTACATCTCAGATAATAAATGGAAGTACAGAATTACCCCACAAAATAGATGTTCCCACAGTAGCATAACACTATCCGCTTTTTATTACCTTCATCTTCAAATTACCAAGCAGGTCGATTTATCTTGTCATTACATGAAAATCCACCCTGCTAAGATTGCACACGAATCGCTGCACTATGACAATATTTAGGCAGCGCTTCATTACATATTCTTACAAACACTACTTCTTTATCCTTCTCATCACGTGATTTAATCGATGAAAAAGACCAAAAACGAATATTTAAAACTCACTGAAACGCACTAAAATGTTGTTCAATATTGGAGCTTTTTGATTTCTTCAAACTTCCTTTTCAGGCAAGTATATACCCCCCTCCACCCCCCCTTGAGGATAGTACCATTCTTTCATTGCTCTCAGAGGAGTGAGGCTGTGGGAAATTTCGTTACTTGAGAGGCTTTTTTGGCAGCTGTAGTAGATTCAAACCGATGTCGTGAAAATTTCCCCCTATATCTTTTATTTATCAATGAATAAAATCGACTTGTCCCACTCGCCATCATGTCGCCTATCACTAAAACTCATATTTCGTGTGTAAGAGGCTCCAGCTTTGATTGGAACAACTACTTAGTTCTACTTTCAGCCTATCTGCTGTTATTTCATCTTGATCACCGCCGTCGCATTCTTCCACCTTCCCCTTGATATTCGTTTCTGAATCAACCCTAAACTTATTCTGTGTACCGCGTCAGTTCTTGTTCACCATATTCCATTGCCATAACCTATATCATACCTTGAAAAAACGCCCCAGTGTTCCAGTCGGACCGTCCCTCTGCTTCCTTCTCTTGCGCATGCTCAGATCGGGCTGAGCACGCGCAGGGTGGCGTGCGCAGGAGAGCGGGAGGCCAGAGCCCCCTCCCCTCTCTCTCCGCCCCACCCACCCTGCCCCGCACGATCAACGTCCAGCTGCCACTCTGCAGCCTTGTGCAAGCTCGGAGAGTACCGAATGTTGCTTATTATAGCGAAAGTTCTCATTATTCACGCATCAAACATTGGATTGCTACATCCTCAGTTCTTTACGCTTTCCTCAAGCGGGCGGTTTCCCATCTCACGCAACTTGAACCGTGACAGTATTGTGCGACGCAACAGGACAACCATACCTACAAACTACACTACCAAATACAAACACACATCAAAATTTACTAGTCTATAGAATGAATATGCATAAGATGTAGTCACCTAGTCTCTTGTCTAACAGCATGAAATGAACTCACGGATCATCTCATCAGCCTACTCTAAGTTTCTTCTTATGCAAGAAATGTCGATACATTCGCACTAGCTAATCTAGCTTCGCCATAAACTGCTTGGTATAAAATCTTTCCCAGCGATCTCCCTCTATATACATACTTAATAATCTCTGCATTCTTTTTCGTCTGGGCCCTCATTTTGTCGCAGCTGCTCCCCCACTGTGCCTTGCGATGCGAAAGTACAGGAACGAGTTCGGAAAGGGGCTAAAAGATGGACTTGTACGTACCTAAGAGCAATCACTCCATTGAGGTTACAGGTTTTCCGGCCTTCGAAAACGGCAACCAAAATTCTGATTTTGTTATTATCCGGTACAACATGCTGACGATCTGCTGACTTCTGAAAATCCCTAATTCTTTCAAATACGACGCTACTTATTGAACCTCCTTCGTTCATTGGATGCCCAGCGACATCGTCCGCAATCTCGAAATTAGCCCACCTTTGGGAGTAGCTGAGCGATGAGATCGTAGCATGTCGACACGGTGCGAAAATCACTACCTGTTAGAGACTCTTGACCCATTTGAGAGGCATGGAGTAGTTCCTCCTTCATCCACCTCTCCTTATTTTATATCAACTATCAGCTTTATCAACTCAAATCCTAAGCCCGCTTCTCATGCGCATGGTTCAGCCATGGCTGCTGACCGCAAGCATATACTTGGTGATCTTACCCCTTTCAAGCCAGCATCTGTCAACTTTTATTACTTTCGACCACCAATTATGTTCACATCCAAGCACTATATCACTCATTGGAATCAACGCTCCACCTGTGTATGAATTTGGTGAACCTTGCATTTGAAGCCCTGTCAGCCCTGTCACTGTTACTCACTCCTGCCTCCGCCACTGATATTCACGTCCAGCCCCCTACATCACCTCTTAGAAACTACGTTCCACCATTGCTCTGACGCGGGTTGAGTTTGGTGACCCTCCCATTTTAATGGCCCTTGACCTGTTGATTATCACTTCTTCCACCACAATTATTGTTCACGCCTTCACCCCCCATTCACTCTCAAAAACCAATGTTCCACCGTTGCTGTGACGCGAGTTATGACTTTGGTGACCCTCCCTTTTAAGGCCCCTCGTAAGCCCTTGCCAGCTGTTGGCACCTCCTGCAACCCATCAATGATGTTCACGTTCAGCCCCCTATATCACATCTTAAACCAACGCTCCACTTGCTATGACGCGTGTCACGAATTTGGTGACACTTCCTTTTAAGGCGCCTTATAAGCCCCTGTCAGCTGCTATCACTTCATGCCACCTGTCAATAGTGTTCCTGCCTGACCTACTACATCACCTATCAATTTGAACTCTCTACGACCGATTGAAGGAAGTTATGAATTTCCGGTCAAACACACACAAACACCGATAAACAAGCTTAGGATTATATATGGTAGGATAGCAACCTGGTGTTCGCCCCAGGGCGAGGAAGCATTTTGCACTTTCGCTAGTTCCCATCGTTCTGTCACTTGCTTTACAAGAGTTGACAGTTGTTCTTTGCATGGTTGACAAGTAGTTTGCACAAACTTTGTCTGATTCATTCATGGCTTCAAAAATTACACAGATCCTTACTCGATGGCTCGACATGACAACAGGAAGCAGCTGCAAATGTCTAGCAGAACAGCACCATTAGTGGCTCTAAATTCAAATTTTTTGGGATGATCACCATAGGGTTAGCGTATGTCGTGGATAGTCAACAGCGACATTCCGAGAAGCACTTTGAATAGTGGTTGATCTCTCTCGGAACAACACAAATGAACATCCATTTGCTTTCCCATTTCCACCGTATTTGCATGCGTGACGTCATTTTTTCCGAAGAATTGCGAACACGTAACCTCTACATTTTCTATAAGGAAGTTGCAATTCTTTGTTCCAAGGAGGGATTTCCGTTTGTGTTTACATAGGTCATTGCGCGTAAATCACTAAGATTTGATGGTATCTGAGCAAGTGACGAGCGCATAACATGATGGCATACATGATATTACCCCAATCCGATTGTTCGGGATTTCCCCTTTCATTTCATCTCGTGATATTCACCGCTCCTCCTTCGTCCAACAGGCTGCTTTAATCTGTTTCTTGGAAATAACTTGAGGAACTTAATCTCTTCTCTCCTTTCACTCGAGGCTCTTGGAAGAAATCCCTATTACCCCTCACGGTTCTACTTTAACAACTCCTCAAAATGGCTAAGGGATAAAGGAAACATGTTTTCTTTCAAACTTTGTACCTTACCAATATAAGTTCTCTCTGAGGTACCACGGATGACTTACCTCAATTTCTGGCATATAAGACGCACCCAATTGCAACGTCGAAGAAACGCAAGAGACAGCGCGAAAAGTTTTCGAGCACAGGGGCAGCTCCTTTTTTCTTCGGTACTCCGATGTTCTAATTGGTCTCCATACATTTTTCATTCGCTATGATTATCCCACTATTTCGTCGTAGTTAACTAATCACATGAAATTAAGTATTGGTTGAACTATTGAGAGGGTAGAACAACGTAATGTGCGAAAGTAGTGGTGTCAGTACGACTCCCTTCCCCTCCCCGGTTATCCTCACCTGCTACGATACTACCTCCTTCCTGGAATCTTCCTGAGTTTTCTTGACAATGAAATTTTCATCGCTTTCACAATAAGCATGCGAGAAGATGTGTGTTGATTCGGCTTCATAAAATCATAAAACGAGTAAATAAAAAAATAGAACAAAAGCATTGGCTTCTATTTACCTTTCCTTACACTCTTCGGGAATCTGGCCAATATTGAAACTTCTCCTTTGGGCTAATTCAGAGACGATTCTGTTCGCTGGCCTTTTGAACACGAACATCGCGTTTTGTTGGCAAAAAAAGCACGTCCTAAGCACAGTCGCCGAAACACCATGGGACACCAAGACTGTTGCAATCTGGTATAGTTCAAGAGGGTGGAGAGGTTCCTGCTTATGAACCTTTGACCGCGCACAGCTTGTTTCGTCGCCACCGCATGGGGGCTCGTTGATGGAGAGGGGTTGACGCTGCCCCAAAACCGTATGTGCAGTCTTTCGGCTGCAGACCTGGAGTATGACAGGAGGCTGGGTTTGGCCAAGCGCCAGCCAGGTTTCCATCGACTGGGGTCCCCTTCCAGCTTCCACAATTGGTAAGAACGGGTCGTGCTGCGTCACAAAGGATTCATGAGCAGGAATCTCTCCACCTCTCCGAACTATACCAGATTATACCCAGCCTCCAGACACGCCCCACGCATCAGCAGGAACAAACTCGTCGGCAGGGACCCTCCAGTGGGGCTCCGGCAAGCACAGTGTTTTGTCCAGCTAAGCGCAGATATCACGCTAAGTTGACGCTGACGTGAAAATGCTTGGTACATGCGTTACGGTAGCAACTGCCCCTGGGCTGGCACCCACAAGGTGGAAAATCAAGCAGTTTCTCATCGAAACAGATGTGATTTAGGAAGTCAAACAATTCCCAGCTACAATGTTTTGGCTACATCCTCTTTGGGAAGAGATTTTTGTCCGAAACCTGAATTGTGAATTCTGAAGAGAGCGCCACCAAATGGAAAGTAAAGCCACAACTTTTGAGTATGGCACTAATTAGTCTCAGTCTGATAGTCACAATCCTTGCTTTTGCCACATTTGTTCTACAGATGTCTTTTTGTCACTATTAACCTCAACAGGATGATAACTTTTGCTCTATCGTTATTCGTTTGCGCTATGGCAGCTCCATCTCGAAGTTCCATAGAGAACGAAATAGTCGGAGTTCCAACGGTGAGTATTCCACACTAAATTTTTATTTGGTTTACATATATTTTTCTCTTTTCTTTGTCAGTACAAAAAAGCAAAAGCTTTGCTTTGATCTGGAAGCCAAATCCTGGAGCAGATCCTCCTAGGCCAACCAAGCGTTCTACCATTTTGAGGTCGCCCCTATTCGTACTAGACTCCTTTTTGAGAGCGAAACACTGGCTTGTCCACCATCTGCCTGCTACGCCTTACTTTGTATGCCAACATTCATTCGAAAAGTGCTACGAACTAATCATAGAGTGTACAGCAAATCCCAAAAGAGGATTCCCTGGCGCCAAGTGCATTATTCTTTTTCAACATGATTTCAGTGTCTCTGTCTGTTACCTCTATTGCCTTGTAAAATAGGAGAGATTATAAAATAGGGAACTGTGCCAGGAAGGTGAAGTAAACAACATCTATTGGAGAAAAGAGGCGATTCCACAGTACATTAAATGCTGCTACCGTAACCCAGGCCGCCAGGAGATCCCAGGCTGAAGGCGCACGCTCAAGTGTGGTCATTCTCGCCAAGCGTGCGAGACAAGCGGTAAAACTTACCTGAACAAGCGCTCGAAGAGCGATGCGCGACCCATGTCAGTCAAAAGGAAATCAAGCTTGGGAGACTAAACCATGAGCGCACACCACGGTAGCAGCGACTCTTCAAACTGCCAACTCTTGCTTGTCTCTAGCAGCAGACATAGTCTGCAGCCAGCCTCGGAGAGGAGCTGTTTACACTTCAGTTCAGGTCCATTGCGAAGACTCCTCTGTTGGCTTGACATTCAAAACGAAGAAGCCCTTCTCTGGGCGAGTATACGTGCACGGAATGGCTGGTGATGAGAAGTGCAGCAGGTCTTTAGTTGAGAACCGAAATCAGACCAGGTAATACTAGTTAATACCATTTCAAGGGGCATCTTCCACGCACCTTGCTTCATGGTTGTCCCAGCCCTTTTCAATACTAGAAGGCAAGAGGAGCGCTAATCAAGAAAGTCTCATGGCAGGGCCGGCTCCGCGATAACCGGCGTGGTGCCTTTAAAAGTTAAGGTTCTCCATGCCAGGGTACAGCATCATGACGCTTAACACCCAAACGTCGACTCGAACCCTCTCCCAACACCCTCCCCTCTTCGATCTCACCCCTCTTGGTCCTAACTGCCGTCATCCTAAGTTTTTCGTTAGGATCATTACCAATTTCCCATTTTGCAGAACATATACGACCCAACGCTGACCAAACAGGATCCTTTATCCCACCGCGATACTACCACGGATGTGGATACTTCGCGCGACATGAGGAAAATCAAGAAGCAAAAAAGTTTCGGAGCCAAACACAACCCCCTCCCCGCCTCCATAGCGACCAGCTCTCCGATGGGATTCCCACAGGGATACTGTAGATGCACCGTACACCTCTGATTGGCCAATGATTCTAATAAATTTTGTTTCCAGGCTCTCAATTAATTTCCAAAATGGTGACTGCACTATGCAACGACACCGAGTTTCTGGAGAAATTCAGGTTTTTTTAGCTGTTCATTTATAAGAGGACTCAATAGTACCGTACCTTGCTTATGCATCTGTTCCTCAAAACCTACTCAAGGGCATGCAAAAGACAACTTCAGGGATTGATGTCATCGATATTGGTGGTCGTGTCATTTCATGGGACATTTGTTACAAATGCCGACCGTGCCTACAAGTGTATCTGCTTTTTCCGAAGTCAAAAAACCTTAACAAACTCAATAGGTACGTGACCATTTGGTTGCTATCGAAAACTATTATTATCGTTACATTATCAGCTACAGAATTACAGGCATAATAAAGTGCACGGATAATACAAAATACCCGAATCTCTAAAGTTGAAAAACAAGACAATACTGGGCTGAAGCTTGCAGCAATTAGTGGAAAGGGAGTCTAAGAATTGCAGCACTGCAAGCTCATACAAATGCAGTCATCCACCGAGCTGTAAGAGAGAGTTGGTCACTGGACTTCTGGAGCCCTATCACTATCTATATGGTAGATAGTGATAGGGCTCCAGAAGTCCAGTGTTTCAGATATGGTAGATGTAAACCATTCCAACCAGTTACATCAGTTTCCGCCTGTGGAGGGGACGGCGTTCTGCTTTTATTTGACTCGCCAGCCTGTG